AAAAAAAAATTATATTATTAAATATAATTTTCATTTATATTGTGATATTTTGAAATTTTTCTAAATTTAAAATATCAAATTTATGAATGACAATGATAATTTGACTATTGATGTTTTCGTTTTCTGACCGTAAAATTCAATGTACTCAGTGATGTGATGATATTTCATAACTCCTATGAATTTAAAAATATCAAAATTTATTATCATCATAAAAATAGTAATAATATTTTTGATTTTTCTTTTTCTTTCCGTATTATTCTGATATGATATTGATTTTTTTCTTTCCTTATTATCGAAAAATACGATATTGTTTTTCCTTTTCTTTTTTTATTTGGTTAATCTAATTCCTCATTTATTCGAATAAATATCAAATAGTGAATAAAGTCAAATTAAATATATAATTTGAGTTTATTGCGAGGCCCATTTGGTCAACTTTGATCGAATAGAGGAACATTGATATATAATTTAAAAAGTATGACAAATTGATACTTAATTTAAATGGGGATAATTTTGTTAATCTACCTATATTATTGAACTTAAAAATTAGAAATATATAAAATTTATATATTTTAACTAGATTATAAAACAATGGACCAAACTACCCATTTTAATATCATGAAATCATTAATATTTGATGTGGGAAATTTTTTAAAAATATTATAATTTAAATAAAAAATAAAAAATTGTAGTAACATAGGCGAATGACTTTTTTTTTCTTGATTTGGTGGGTCTCACTTTTTTTTTTTAAAGAATGTCTCTATGGCAAGGCATTACTTCTCTGCCACAACTACAGAAAAGTAATGCCCATAATTTTAGAAAACATTTTAAAAATATATTGATGAAAATGAAATACTTTTTTTTTTAAATGTGAATAACATGCTTCAGCACAATAATAGCATGCAAAGGTATCACAAAGTTTTAATGAATTTTATGCTTATAAATTTTTGATTTGATTATCCTTCTTAAGAATTACCTTTAAATGTTTGCTAAAAATTCACATAATTTTTTAAATCTTATAATATGGATTATCCTTTCAAATCTAATAAATTATATTAAAATTCATTAAATTACAATCTTATAAAATCTTGATCGTAAAAAGAATCTTTTAAAAAAATATTTAAAGTCGTTATAATTCTAAATAGTCTTTTAAAATTTATAAAATTTTTTGGGGAGGTTATATTTACTACCTCTTTTTCTTACTACCTCTTACTATTAAATCTTAACCATTGATTTTCGTCAATCTAACGGTTATAATTTATTGGGTCATACTTACTAATTAATTATTAATTTCTAATAAATTATAACCGTTAGATTGACGGAAATCAATGGTTAAGATTTGGTAATAAGATGTAGTAAGAAAAAGAAGTAGTAAGAAAAAGAAGTAGTAAATATAACATCTCCCGAAATTTTTATCTCAAAATAGTCTTTTAAAAGAATCATCTTTAACTAAATTTCATCATACCTGGATGCACAACAACATCAAGGAATCTCATTACAATCGCGTATAAACACACAAAGAGAGATCACCTTTCTTTTGACCTCATCACTGTAGGATCATCCATTCTATGAGGTTAGGTTGTTGAGAATAATTTAAAATTATTTAAAGGAATAATCCAATAGAGATTGGATGAAGATTCTCTCAACTACTCTTTCATTTGAATTCGGAATTTAAATAAATACCGTTGCAACAAAATTTATGAGAAAAGGAAAGGTATTAAAGGGGCGCATAATTAAAGGGGGTGAATCAAAGAACGTCCCTCTCATCATTCAATATGTGCGCCTAATTAAAGGTGGCTGATGAGGGGCGCCTAATCAAGGGAGAGAATCAAGGAAAGTCTCTCTCATCCTTTTAATGTGTGCGCCTAATTAAAGGGAGCTGATGTGGGGCGCATAAGGAGATGGAGAGAATCAAGGAAAGTCTCTCTCATCACTTTAACTTGTGTGCCTAATCATAGGAGGGGCTTATGTGGTTGATCAGTTTTTTTTATAAAAACCTGATGCATCATCTCTCCTATGTGTGTGTAGAATTCGAAAAAGAAAAAGCTCCAACCTTTCCATCTCTCTCTTGTTGCACCATCACCTAACCTGAAGACACCATTATAGTATTGAGAAAAATAATCCAAACACTTGGTAGCCTCTTCCTTGCATGCGCTTAGCCAGCCACCGAGGATAAGGAGGGATCAAGGAGAAAGAGTTCTCGTTTGCAAGAAGGAGATAATCGTGTGGATCACCATTGGAGGGCATCATCTTTTTGCGCCTACAAGTGTAAAGGTAATTCTGAAATCCTATTTCGTTTCAACGAAAAGCATTCAGATATGGGGTGTATAGATGGTCTATGCTTCGCTGCGAATTTTTTTTGTTTTCCACCCATGTATGCGCACCATGGTATGACTATGGTGCAGTCTTTCGAACCTTCAAAATATATAAAATACATAAAACATAGGAGCTAGGAAACAACCACACAAACAAGAACACAACAAAATCTGAATTTTGAAGTATCACGTTGTCTCTGAAAACACAAATATATGGATCTCTATCGGAAGTACCCGTGCTTCAATTAAGAGACCAAAAGTCAAAAACACAATAGAATATCTGAAAATAGAATTACTAGTCTAAATTTATAAACTAATGAAAGAACAGAGAAAATAAATACAGAAAAAGTTCGCACACTAAGACTTGAGAAGCACAAAAATCTATTAAGTAAAGGACAATTACCAAGTTTAAAAGCAAACAACAGACTGTACAAGATATAAATAAATTAGCATGCCACGATTTTCATTAGAAGAAAAAATGATATTTCATATAAATATTTGTAGTTACGTGGTTGCGAGGAAATAAATTCTTCAAAAGGGAAGATGCGAGGTGCACATTACAAACCACAGATATACATGTCTCAGTGTGATACAACCATGAGATAACATAACATGATAATAGGAAAAGTCATATATAAAAAGGCTCATTTAATCTCATATTATATAGGAGAGAAAATCTCTTATATTGTAAACACACATGTGGTGAAGTTCCTCATTTACAAAAAAAAAAGAAAAGAAAAAAGAATATCACGATTTTCGATAGATTTATTGGAGATAAAACTACTCCCATATTGCATGAGAATAATTTTTTCCATATAAAAAACATACATTTAAAAGTCCTCGTCAGTGCTAATTCAACTATCCATTGGCATGGCTTTACCCATCATACAATTTGTTCAAAGCAAAGCAAACTGCAGGACAAACTACTAGGGGTGGCAATTTGGGTGACCCGCCCCGCCCCGCCACCAACCCGCCAAAAACAGAACAGGGCGGGTTGAGCCGCCAAAAAATATGGGTTGAAAAAATGAACCCATTCCGTTTTATGGTGGGTTGGCAGGTCAACCCACCAACCCGCCAATTAAAAAAAAAATTAATTAAAATTTAAAAATAAATTATATTTTATGAATTTTTCTAATATTATTTTATTTTATTTCACATTTCTCTATATTTTTTTAGTCTTAATCTTAAATGTATACTAATATTTGTCAAACATTTTTTAGAAATTTATATATAGATAACATTTGTCATAAATAAAATTGTTATTCTTTATTTTTTATAGGAAGTACTAAGTTAAAAAAAATTTAAGAACTAATGAAATACTAATTAATTGTAAAAAATAAAATAAAATTATAACCCGGTGGGTCAACCCGCCCCGCGGCAGGTTGAACCCGTTTTGATCCACTTCTAGCGGGGCGGGTTGAGGTGGATAGGTGGGTTGAAAATCTCAACCCAACCCGTCCCGTTTTGACGAGTTGGCAGGTTGACCCGCCAGGCTCAACCCGTATTGCCACCCCTAATTTTCATTCCCACCATGAAATGTTTGGGTTGGGTTTCTATTTTTGGTTACCAAATGGCCCAATATGATCGATCAATGGACCCAACCTTTTCATCCGAAAGTAAATTTATTGGGCGGGTCATGCGTCACGGATCTGAATCCGGGTCCGGGTTCTTCAATAGATAAATATTGGGCGTTTGGTTTGCAGCATAAGCGTGAGAGAGAAGGAGAAATAGAAAACAGAGAAGAGAAAACAGAAAGGGTTTTGGCCTCCGAAACTCACACAGTGTTGCGTTTCGTTCTTTATTCCTCTTTCTCACTCCAAACTTCGATGAAACCCTAGCCATGCATCATGCATTCCCCGCGATCAGATTTACTATTCCTTCCTCTTGATTTTTCTCATTGTTTGACTCATATTTTCGTCTTTTTCTATTTCCAATCATCACATCACTCTGTGCTTGTGAACAGAACTTGACTTAGTAATGTTTTTCGATGGATTTTGGGTTCTCGAGTTCCCTATTGTTTGCTTCATTCGCTTTTTGACGAAGCCTTGCTTTTTTCCTTTTTTTTCTATTTTTTTATTTTATGTTGATAAATGTGCTGTTTGACTCTAGGTTAGTTTGAGGCTTAGATGTTAGAATCTATCACTTGCGGCTATGTTGAATGTTGCGCATCAATTTGAGTATAGGTATTCCTGGTTTTTGTTGCACCCCTTATAATGGCAAGCAAACATTATGTGTTGATGAAATAAAAATATGAAATAAATTTTTTAATTTCATGATTATCTAGTTTTAGTACCTAAATAATCTTGAACATACTTTAGGTTTCTCGAAGTTCCATAGAACATGAATATGTCATGTTTGTTGGACAAATATTTGAAATTCTACACCTGTAAGGAGGAAAAGGCTTTTGTTGTTGTTGTTATTGTTTTCTTTAATTAGTATAAGTTTCAAAAGGTTTAGTCAAGAAGTCCTTGATTGTTTCTTGAAGTCCTTTAACTGTTCAATTCTTAATTCATCAATATGCTTTAGCTAAGAAGAATATATTCAAGAGCAACTTTCCTATTTGTGTTTCTTATACCGGTAAGCATGAGCTTGCTGTGAAATATATTATATCCTTGGCTTGGTGTTTTTGGTTAAGCTTGTGATATTTTTCTATACATCTGTATCTTGTGAAAATTTTAAGTTTTGTAGATGCTGCTGATTTCTGCATGTGTAGCTGACTGAGATATGCTGATCACATAATTTTTGTTTTTTAATCACAAAAGTTAGCATTCTTCCATGTATCCAACACGGTCTGGCCAAGATAGCCCTGTTTCCGGGCAGGTGCGTACAAGTGATAAGATCAAGTCAAGGCCAAACATTTATGGCCGACCATTCATGTATTACAACTCAAATCTTAGGCACACCAGGAAAAGCAAGATGAAGACAAGGACAACAGCTTCACAGATTGCCAAGATGTTGCGTCCAGTGAATCGGAAAGGACAAGATTTGAATACTAATGTAAGTATCTGCATTTAAAATGAGTTGTAGAAGCATAATTGCTAATTGCTATGGATATTTTATTGTTTAAATTGCATGGGTTCTGTATATAAATCACTCAGATTGTCAGGCATGACATTGGCGTCATGAATTTTTTCTGGCCTCTAAGTCAATTTGTGGATATATGAATATCTATGTAGTTATTAATAACATTTTTTATTGGTCAAATATTGAATGCTTTTTTTTTCAAACGTATTTATTTTCCTTTTTGTCAATTTAAGATTTTTTTTCATCCAAGGATAACAAGCAGGCTGAGGCAATCATGAAAGAACTATATCTTAAAATCCTTCTATTTCTAATCTTTGCTGCTTCTGTACTGGCTTGCAATTTTGCAGTGAGATCCAATTTCTCATTGGTATACCTTAGGTTTCCATATTTCTTAAAGCTTCCCCTGTTTTTTAGGAACCCTAATGATTGAGGAGCTGATGAACTTGATTTATTATTAGACAGCTTTGATTCTTTGCATTGTTCTTCTTTGCTTGACTTGGCTTTGATCTTTGGATCTATCTGCTTCTTATATATGTAAAACCGTTATTCCATTTTTTTGATTCTCTGTCCTCCAATTCAAAATGTTTCTCTATCTGCCTCTTTCTTTAAAAGATTATTGCTCCCTCAAACTCTAATGTCAAGACTTTTATTTGGGCAATGGTACTTGATAGAATTAATACAAATGATCTGCTTACAGATTTGTAGGCTTCATAGGTCTCATTCTCTTCTCTTGATGTTTGTGTTATGTGTTTTCAGAGTTTGGAGACAAAATAACATCTTTTATTATTTTGTGACCCTGTTGTATGTCAATTATTTCCTTCTTTGTACTGTTCCAAAGGGTGTGGGTTGACTGGGTTCAAATCCCACTCAAAGAATTTGTACAACCCCACCTAGTGGAGTAAGTTAAGATTGTCGTTGATTGTGTGTGCTTCTGTGTGTATTGAAAAGAACTATATCTACACATGCAAATATTTGTTTTTTTACCAGAACAGTGAATATTAATAATTAGTTTTATACTTTATATTTGCAAAACGTTAACCTCTTCAGCGTGCTGCAAAATGTGTTTTGGATACTAACATTGTGTATCATGCACATAACCAAATTATGAAGTTACAGATGTTGTCTGATGTGCACGAAGGTCATTAACCTCTACTTTACTGGATATGATTGTACATAGTAGTTTTTTTTCCCGGTTTCTTTGTTTAGCCCTCTGTTCACATCTCTGATTGATGCAACTAATTGTTTTTGATGTATTAGTATAATTTATTAAAAAGAGTGAAGAGAGCGAGCTTAATAAGAAATGATGGATTTAATTATTTTCCTTACCTTGCTATTCTGTGTGTATTTCTTTCACTTATTGCTTAGAATCATTTCATTTCCTTAAGTTGATCAGACAATAATGCTTAATAGTAATTCTCTCGGTTTACTATATGGGACATTTTAAATCCCTGGTTTGTTTATCCGTGCTTGTATTCGCAGTCTGGCTCTGCCAACCTTAGGCGTTCAACTAGGAAGAGAAGGCTTAGTGTAAATCTTGAAGATTTCACAGACAGCTCTGGAGCTGAGGATGAAGACTTAATGGTGAGGTTTTATACTATGATATAAAATTTCGGGTGATAAGCTTGAATTCTCTGTAATTTGAGCTGAAGGTATGTGGCCATGTTTCAGAGACCTGCATATCAACCATTGAGAAACCAGATTAGCATTAGCATCAGCCGGGATGATTTGATGTCTACTAAACGCAAAAGAGCAATGGAGAAACCTACACCTCGGCGTGAAGGTCTACGACCACGTCGCTCAAAGGCTGGCGCAAGAGAACGATTAATTTTAGAATCAGATGATGAGCAAGAGCTTTCAGAAGAGAAGGTTGAACAAGATGAAACAGAAAATGGAAATGATGTTGAGGAAAATGATGCAGATGATGATCAAAATGAGATTGAGGTGGACACTGAGGGTGAGGATGAAGGCAAGGATGAAGGTGATGAAGATGGTGATGATGAAGAAGATGGAGAAGAGAAGGATGGAAGAAGACGCTATGATCTTCGAAATCGTTCAGATGTCTGCAGGTTCTCTATGGAGGAAGGGAAGGCCCGGCAAAGATCTCCTCGAAGAGTGTTACATCAAGGTATGGGAACTAAAGTCAGTAGGGATGTAAGGAAGGGTGGTTCACATGTTCATAAGCGTCATCGCATAACAAGGCCTGAAGATTCTGATGACTCCCTTCTTGTGGATGAGCTAGACCGAGGCTCTGCTATTCCATGGGGGCGAGGTGGAAGCAGATCTGGCCCACCTTGGCTTTTTGGGGGCTTAGACATGCATGGAACATCTTGGGGATTAAATCTTACTGCATCAGGTTGGGGTCACCAGGGTGATGCTTTGGTTACTCTAACTTCTGGGATTCAAACTGCTGGACCAAGTTCTAAGGGAGGAGCAGATATCCAACCCTTACAGGTTGATGATAATGTTAGTTTTGAAGATATAGGTGGGCTCTCTGAATACATTGATGCTCTAAAGGAAATGGTTTTCTTTCCATTATTATACCCAGATTTCTTTGCAAGTTACCACATTACTCCACCTAGAGGGGTGTTGTTATGTGGACCCCCTGGTACAGGGAAAACATTAATTGCAAGAGCTTTGGCTTGTGCTGCTTCAAAAGCTGGCCAGAAAGTTAGCTTTTACATGTGCAAGGGAGCAGATGTACTAAGCAAGTGGGTTGGTGAGGCTGAAAGACAATTGAAACTACTCTTTGAGGAAGCACAACGGAATCAACCTTCTATTATCTTCTTTGATGAAATAGATGGACTTGCACCTGTGAGGTCTAGCAAGCAAGAACAAATTCACAATTCCATTGTGTCCACTTTGCTTGCTTTGATGGATGGTCTTGATTCTCGTGGACAAGTTGTTTTAATTGGAGCTACCAACAGGATTGATGCTATTGATGGAGCCTTGCGACGTCCTGGTAGATTTGATCGTGAATTTAACTTTCCCTTGCCTGGTTGTGAGGCACATGCTGAAATATTAGACATTCATACTCGTAAGTGGAAGCATCCTCCTCCAAAGGAACTGAAAAAGGAACTTGCAGCTAGTTGTGTTGGTTACTGTGGTGCTGA